TAACAGGATCACGCTGCTAAAAGGACCATGCTGCTAACAGGACCACACCGCTAACAGGATAACGCTGCTAAAAGGACCATGCTGCAAACAAAACTACACTACTAATAGTACCATGCTGCTAACAGGATCACACCGCTAACAGGATCATGCTGCTAAAAGGACCATGCTGCAAACAAGACCACACTGCTAACAGTACTATGCTGCTAACAAGAATACACCGCTAACAGGATCACACTACTAAAAGGACCATGCTGCAAACAAGACTACACTGCTAATAGTACCATGCTGCTAACAGGAACATGCTTTTAACAGAACCTCACTTCTAACAGGACCACTCTGCTAATTGGACCATGCTGCAAACAGTAAATTCATTTATTACTATTACTGTGCTTGGTGTTTTTCAAAGTTGGAATAATACAGGAAATAAAACCAAGTGAAAATCACTGAATGAGACAGTTTGTGTTCATTTTCCCCCGTCTGATGCATTTTGGTGCCCCGACTCATTTTCTCACCGTACGACTCTCGAACTCCGATGACCAGCTGGGAATCGAAGGCCTCTCCCAGCCTCTCGGCATGGACGAGCTTCATGGCGCTGTCCTGAAGCCTGCTTTTAATGTTGGAGAAGATGGACTCGTTCCACGTGTCCAGCATCAGCTGCGGTCACCGAAACGAGCAGAGAACAAGTTTAACAACCTCCTGAAAATCGCCCGACGTTACGGTGAAGTTCCAGAGGAGAAGCATGCGTGAGGACCGCCTCACTTTGCGCACGATGCTGTCCTCCACGTTGGACTTCTTGTTGCTCCCTTGCTTGCCCATCAGAGTGATCTCCAGCTGGCAGAAAGGTTTGGGCAGGATGTCGCACTGCGTGAAGAACTTCCTCCACTCCACAATGTAGGCCTTCAGGAGCGCCGTGTCATCCTGGTGACTCAGCACACGCTTTAGGACAGAGGTGAGAAACAAGACAGGGTTACCTGCAGACTGGTTAAAAATACATAAAAGCAGCAGCTTTAAATGAGGTGGACCAGCACAGGATGGACATTTAAAAGACAAAAAAGAGCTCTCTTACTGCTTGAGCTTGTTTAATGAAATCTAAGATGTCCTCTTTGAGAGCCTGGTGGATCTTAGCTGGACCTTTGTCGTCCCACAGGCAAACAGCATGGACGTCCCTGCAGAACCAAACAGGGGACAAAACGTTGGTGATCGTTGTCTGCCTCCATCAGCTGGGAACCCAAACTATTCGTAAAAGACAAACTGTCACTGAAGTTACAGAAAACGTACGAGAACAGGTCGAACCACTGTTGTTTGGTGACGGACTCCTGCCGCAGGAGCTTCAGAACGATGGGGCGCATCAGGTCCCATTTGTCTTCAAACTGTAGGGAGCCTTTGTTCTGAAAGCAGACAAGAGACAGTTACAGATACTTTAACCTGCTATATCGTCAAACATGTAACACTTCAACACTAATCCTGCTACTTCTTTTATTTTAAAACTAATTGAAATCCAGCCCCCTGAACTCCTTCTGATGTGTGAAATAGAGGACAATAATGATCGCGATCATAATTAAAAAAGCAATCATCATTATATGAAGGGCCCAAAAAAGGGAGGACCACAGCTGGATTAAAGAGAAAACACCAGCCGCTGATAAAAAACAAGAAAACAAAAACGATTAAATTTTAAATCCCTAAAAGAAGTGCTAAAACCAATGAACACATGAACATCCGATTTGTGGGTGACATCATGGAACTCATGTTTTTTCACGTTGATCTTTAAGTCACAACAAACCAGATTGTTTATTCCTCAAGTGTTTCTTTTTAAAGGATTTAAAAGTATTCATAACTACTTTGCCTCAAATAATGGGTCAGTTAACTGAAGTTGTTTAAATTAACTTGCTTAAATTGGGAACTCACAAAAGACAAACCAGGTGTAGCAAGGTCCAGCTGAGAAAGTCAAAATTGAACCCTGCACATTTTATTTGACCTTTATAGACATGTTCTGAATCGTTCTCCATGCTGGTCACACAGGACAACTGCACCCAGCTTATACGTGGTTTTATTCTTTTCTTTCTATCAAGTATCACTCCCCAGTTCCACATCGCATGCTTTGAGAAAAAGAGCATTTTACTCGTCAACATTGTCTCATGTACCATACCACTTTATTTATAGAACACTTAAAACAGCGACAAGGCCAACCAAAGTGCTGTACAGACAGAACAACAGGTAACACACAAAGCAAAATACAAAATGAGGTAAATCAGAATATTGACAAAAAAAAGATGCAGATAATGACGACAAACCAGTGTGGAGCGTACAGGATCAAAACACAGATCATCTTGTGTTGAAAGCTACTGAATAGTAGTGAGTTTTTAAACAGGACTTGAAAACCGAGAGGGAGGGGGCCTGTCTGACAAGCAGAGGTAACTCGTTCCA